ATGGTAGGCGCCAGAGGGTTTTTCTAAATAATAAATTTTCATTTTAAAAAATACTGCATGAGGGCGTACCTCAAGGTAGTATACTTTCGCCCTTCCACAAATAAGAAGTGGATCTTATTTGTGGAAGGGCGAAATGGGCGGCGACTATTAGACCCCTCCATTATAGCCATCTTTCTCTATTGCGCGGATTTCTATGACTTTCTTTATCGCTCTCACGTAACAGCCGATGAACCATGGGGACTTTCCGACCCTGTATATTACAATTCACTTCACTTTTCACTAGTATATGACTAACATTTTCCATTAAGTCATCATAGGAGTGGTGTAGATAGCTTTTGGCTGATTTCATTTTTGTAGGTGTAACTGCAACGTTGTGACGAATTTCGATTATTCAAATTCAGATGAAATACGGCTGGTAAATAAACATACATCTAATAATAAAATTTATTAGAGCTATTATTCACTTACGCGTAAATATTTCCTTGGGATAATAAACCATCATCCGTAATAATACACGTTCGAATTTCACACTATGCATGCACGGTAATGGATGATGCTGTTCTACTCTACATGCCCCGTTGACTATTCGCGATACACATTGTAAAGTGTGCACGTGTAAAGAACAATTGATGAGTGCTCAGGTGCGTTCGAGTCTCGATACTTGGTCTATAAATTAAATCATTTCATCAGCGCTAAAACACTTCGGTATATAATTACATGTAAATGAGTGGGATCACCATAGCAGTCTTACTAAATACGGTGAGGGAGAGACTCGTGTTTTATTAATTAATGGTTTTATCTAAAATCATCGATCCTGCGGCAAATGCAATATTATCACCGTATGCGATCTATCGCAAGGAACGGACTGAAACCAGCGTCCTCTTAAGGATAGGAAGATGAGAACGCGAACTTGCATTTCCAAATCTGTAGTTCTGAATTTATTGGATTGTCTGCAATATTTTCATTCTAGTCAGTAGTACCTATAAATGTATTGGCTGTGCCGTCACCGTAAAATAAAAACAGTGTTTGAAGCAGCTGCTTATTATTATGTTTTGATCAAAGCTCGCCAAGTTTTTGCAAATTAAATTCATTTTTTCAAAATAAATTCAACCTGTTGGAACACAGGCTTAATATTTTACAAAAGAAATATATACTTGAAACAACTAACCATCTTCATATTTGTTTTGATAGACTTTTCCATGAGTTTATAAAATAACTCACTCTATGATGTTTTGAGAAACAACTACTCTGCGGATTGATGCCCTGACCAGCATTGAATCACACTCGCAATATCTAATAAAAGGCTAAAATCATTCGTCAGTAGAACCACCAGACATGTCTCTAGTTATATTGGTGTCTATTTACAGACTTGATGTGAATATGGGTGAAATATAACATACAAATTGTGTTCCAATTTAAATGTCCACTCAGGAGGTATGTGCTTTCACAGCAAGTTTGTTTTTTCCAAAACCTTTGTGTCTGTTTGAAGATATCATACTCTCCATCAAAGTGGAAAAAGTATTCTGCTCTTATTTCTTAATTAATTGATATTATTAGACAATAAGAATATAGATAGAGAAAAACCACTAAACTAATAATAGCGGTAATGAATGCTATTACTCAATCAAATTAAAAAATATATGAGTACCATTTGTGGTTAAAGATAAGTGAATAATTGCAACCTATTAGCTGTCTGTGGTGCTTTAAAAAACCGCCAAATTTTATGCTTCCTTCATCTTAGGAACAAATTTAAAAGAAAAAGGAATCAGTTGTATGTTTCTTGATGATACATATCGTTTCTCGAGTACCAGTACGTAGTTTCATTGTACATATTACAAACTATTACGGGATGTAAGTATTTAAAAATAAATTCGCATCAATTAAAGACATTATTATATATTGCCTATAAAAATTTATGTTGCATTTAATTAAACAGACTTAAGTCATGTTTATTATAATCTGTCCTAGAGATTTATTACCATATATTTTTTCCTTTATTCATAGTTCAGCGAAAAAATTGTCAAGGATTAAATTTGTCGTCTTTAATACATACTAAAATAGATCTAAGTTTGTGCGAAAAGGATATTATAAATCATACATTTAAACTTGTTTGGAGAAAATATTCTTTTATGATAGCTACTATACGTTTTGCGGAAACTGATTTGCAACAACAATAATTACCTAAAAACATTGATTTTTGTTCTCGCAGGTATCAAATATTCAAAATAAAACTTATATTGGCATTTCCTTTTTTAAATAATTCAGTTTTTAAAGATGTAATGTTTATAATTCCAACACTATCAGTTAAAGCAGATTAGAGGTATATAAAAATAAAGTTTTTCAGTTAGAAATAAGTTATTATACTTTTAATCATACGTCACAAGGACTTGAGTGACAAAAAATATAATTTTTCAATCCCTGTATGGCAATCAACCAAGCTCTCTTAGGAACGTTGGTTGAAAACAGCAAGAAACCTACTTATTCATTTGCTGGTTTACACAGAGATATATTAATTTATAGCAACTAATGTAAACTGTAATATCGTTAACGACAATGGGATATAAAAGTGGACCCAAATCAGATTCTTGGGGTACTTCAGAAATAATAAGATACTGATTTGACAGGTATGCATTTGGGTTTTGCAAAGTACCACAAAAACCGTGTGCTTAATCTTTTAGAATTATGAATAGTTCCGTTGTACTGAGTGATTTTTAATTTGACTCTCAAATATTTACAGGGTGGTTTTTGATCAAAATTAACACAAAAAAGATTAAATGAGGTAAAGATCATTTCTCTTTATCCTTACCAATATGTTGCAGTTTGAAGAACCAAATTTGCTGATTGATACAAGAGAAATTTAAAAATATATCACAGTATCCCAGTTACGTTCAAGAATACATCAAAGAGTGCTATGATTTTCATTTCCAGAGATAAATAAATAGCTTTTAAAAATTAAAGACAGTTTAAGACATTTGGAGCTGTGGATATTCATATAACAAAACAGAGGAAATAAATTTTATAATTTTTAAAAGTGAATATTTATTGTTTATATATAAGACGACCATTATAGTCTCTTTCAATGTGTTATGGGTATTATAAGATGATATATATTGTAACGAATTGGAAATGTTCATATAGAGACTCGAATGAAAAATTCCCTGACCAAACTTGAGGTCATATACAAATTTTAATTATTAGTATAAAATTGTTAATATAAATATTCTGAATATAAAACTAGTAATAGTTAAGTATATCACATAGTATAAAAATAATAATATTTTAATTTTATTCACAAGTACAAAATAAATTTTTCATAAAATGCATGACATCGACACTTGTTAGTACTCAGTACATAAAGAGAACAGAATTTAAACCTAGAGTGACGTATATCAAATAAAAGTTCAATATCTATAGATGAATCTGGTATACATAGCCTGGGAAGACGAGTAAATGCATAGAAGATATTTCAATTCAACTTAAGTCATAGCATGAAATTTTTTATCAATTGTCAAATTTAATAATTTTCACAAATGTCAAAACTTGGCTTTACAAGAGTACCTGGAGATAACCTTAAAAAAACATAAAATAAGGCATATTTTAGTAATTAATTAAATTATTGTACGTAAAAATAAAAGGACATTTAAAAAAATGTATTAGTCATAAGGAGTGTTGTGGAAGTGTTTTAAAAAAGGACATCCAAGGACTGAAAATTCTGTGAAGAGACCTTAAGCAAAGATAGGAACAGAATAATCCGGAAAGATGAAAAAACAAAAAAAATTATTGATTGGTTACGGCTTGGGTTTTGAAAATACAGAGTAGAGAGAACGCTCCAGTAAATTTTAAAAAATAACACAAGAAAGAGACAGTCAAGAAAGAAAATTAAACTCACCAGTAAGGTTAACAGTTTTTTTATCTCAAAGTCCAGAGAAAGAAATTTGTCATCATAGAAAAATTTTCCGTTACCAGTAGTAAGCAGTTCCATAGTGGTTTCCAGTGGCCCCATAAATGTAGCAGGACATCTACGTAGTTTCCAACAAGGAAAAATTCAAGTTTGCAAATACCAGGTATCTAAAATAAAAAATAAAGTGCACTATAAAAAAACTGATAGCTATAAACTTTTCTATCGCATCAAACCTTAGAAAAAATAATAGATAAATAGTAAACTACAGGACTTACCTGAACATAAATAAGCAAAAGCCAATCAATAATAACTTTAAAAATTTCACCAATTTGACGAGCAAAACTATCAAATGTACAGCCATTTTTAATTTTAGTTTAAATAGACAAACATGTCTCACTAATAGTAAAAAAAATTAAAGATATTAAAAAAAATTTTCAAGATGCCAAATCTTCTTAAAGAGAGTAGGAATTGATTGATTGATTGATTGATTGACTTGACTGGTTCATTGAAACTTCTTGTCTCAAGTTTAACCCTGTAAGGACAATCTCTATGTAACACATTAAAAGTGTTTGTGTTTTTAATTTTGCTGTAAATTCCCACAATTTATCAGATATATCGACAATATGTTCGCAAATCACAGAAATATCCCGTCGTAATACACTTTTTAATACACTTCCAGGAAATAAAAGGGTGTTCTTGATTTATGGAGTACAAAGAGTACAGTCCTGCTGGTCAAAAATGGCACGAGCCACTTTTAATTCATAAAGTGCCAGACGTGAATTGTACGAATGTTAACTGCAACCTCACAAAATCATGTAAATTAACAAAAAGACGACCTCCGACATCTCCAGGATCATCCGTCCTTGATTTGCATATCGGTTCCGTGATGCCCTGTACACCGCACAGCAGCCCGTTGAGACTGAGATCCCCAGGTGGACAATACCTATGTGGAGTAATTAATGTACCCCGGGGGGCAGAGATCTAGGATTCTGCAATAAATGCAACGGATCCAAGAGCTCATCTTCACCAGTGGGAGTCATATTATAAAAGCAAACAGCCGAATCTGTGCATCACACTTCGAGTGCACTTTACTTCCAGCATGAAGCAAGTAAGACATTTAGCTATTCATTACTTGTCCGCTAGATTAGTACCATTATTCACGCGGCTTGTGAATATTAACTGTGCTGTGCCTGTAGCGGGTGGATCGCGAAAGTGATGGGCCGGTTTTGGTGACGTATTTTTTTGATATTAGCCGGCGAGCGTTACCGATTTTTGTTACAGATAACTTACACTTATAATATTCAAAAGGAAAAGAAGTTGAAATTGAGAACAAACATAAGAATACAACTTTAAAGTTGCTGGGAATTCTAGCTAGAGTTTTATAGATTCCGTTTTGAATTGTTTTATCTAATTTATACCCATCACTCATAGATATATGAAAAGGCCTGGTAACACATTTCTTCAAGGCTAAGGCTTTGAGATTAATAAAATATTGCGCTTTTTAAAATTGGATTTAACACAACTTTTAGATATAATTTTTAAATTATAAATAGACAGGTACATAAACAAGAACAAAAGAAAAACTTACATATTTTTAAAAATGTAATAGTTATCTTTATCATAGTAGATATACTTTTCAAAATCTTAGTCCACCGCAATGTAAATATTGTCTGTTATTTTTTAAATGTTTTCCTTCTTAGACAGCTAAATGATTTATTTTAGTTATCGGTATATTTTTATTTCAATTCGGAAGTATAATATTTCACAATATTAGTATATTTTTTAAAAATAATGCAAATGATAGTAATGTAGTCTAAATATTAATTATGTACCACTCTTTAAACATTGACTAACTGAATTATAGTAGGTATTGCTATACACATTTTTTTTAATCCTTATTATTTAGTATATGCTTTTCAAATCATACAAATGACAACCCATCGAAAAGAAAATACTAATTATTACTATTTTAATGTTTTCTTACTTCATTATCGAAATTATTCAATTATTGTTATTTTTTCAATATTCAATTATTATAATCAATTTTTTGATATTTTAAATAGGACAGAAACTTAATATTCACTTTGTTAACTATAGTTTTTTTGCGGTATATTCTATATATTATTCTACATCATCTTCGTGTACAATGGTAGAATCCTTGAGTTAGTGACATATAATCCTCGCTCGAAACAAAATTTACTTTCTCGTGCGATCTAGGGGACCTTTTACATTTTAAGATAACTCACGCTAATGGAAATGTAAATATCTTCTATTCATGAAATTGAGACGAAATATTTGTGATTGTCTTCTTTCTAAAGCATCTTGATAATGTCATATTTTAGAAAAATATTGTTTCTACAACATTCTTGGAAATTAAATGAAAGTACATATATTACCATTTACAAACCAATAAATTCAGTTGAAGATACCAAATTTATTTTTAATCTTAGATATGTTTCATTTATGTCTAAATTTTTTGGTGTAGGTTATGTCCGGAAAAAGTTCTTTGTGAAATGCTTTAAGAAGGAATTTAACCTTGACTAATAATAATTGATGTCGGTTTTTATTGACATTTATAGAGGCAATAAAAATTAATTTCATTAGTCAAGAATATGAGTATTCTTTATAGATAGCAAGTTTTCTTTTTAAATATAGAAATTATATCCGAGATAATTTAAGAATCGTTACTTTTCATTGTAACCTTTTATTTTTTCGTTTTAATAAACAGAGTAAAATTTTTCGCCACAGTTTTGAATTCTTTTCCCATCAACAATATCCAAGTTCGAGTGGAAAAAATATAGAAGTAATTCTATTTACAAACGCTACACTTATTTTATTTTTCATATTCCATTGAATAGAAAAACTTTTTGTTAAAATTTTTTTGTTTATTCGTGGTAAACCAGAGGTAAGCTAGAAATAAACATATTTTTTTTTTAATAAAATATTTTATAAGTCCGCTATTTTATCACTTTTAATTTTTCCTTCCAGGCAATTTTAACGCTAGCCCTGATAGGGTTTGCGGCATGCGCGCGCTTGGATTACCTGCCACCTAGTCGACCGGGAGGTGGTGGACCTGGTGGTGGAGCTGGAGGACCATTTGGAGGAAGGCCAGGTGGTGCCCCTGGAGGTGGGTACATTTTTTTAAAAGTAACTGTAAATTGTATGGTGCTCCATATTCACTAAATATGTTAACTTTAGTTTTAGTTTTTGATTTTGACAAAAAACAATCATAATAAAAATACGTGTCAGATTTCGAAAACACATTTTTTTTTAATTTATTACAACGCAGTATTCAAGTTCATATATATTTGCTTTTTCCTTAAAGTTAGTCCTTCATGTGACACTTGTATAAAAAGTATTGAATGAATTGATAATTCATCATTCATAATTGGTAATTGAATTGATATTTGGGCGATTAATGATTCGAGCTCAATTCTCATCTCGTTTACGAAGAAAAAATATTATTACATTTAACATCTAACTTAACTTGAATGAATGACAATGTGACACCTAGTTATTTTTAAATATGGAAGACAATGATGATTAAAATGCTAGCTGATGTAAACATTTCTAAAAATATCTTTCATCTCGATGAAACAGCTGATATCTTATTTATTTATTTGCAGTGATATTACGAAAAGTAGTTTTTATTTTATATATAACATATTAATGATGTCAAATGAAATTTTTACATTAATTTCATAAAAATATTTTAAAGTATAATGTAACTTTTCGGGAATATAAATTTCCTAAATTAAAAATTCGAAATTTCGTTGATATTCCTTAAACGATAACCACATATTTTTTAAATTTTTTATGACGAACTATTTGGTTATTTTTTTTGCAATATGGAATATACAACAGTCTAGATAGCCCACAAAATTGATCCTCAAATCAATAAAAAATATATAGAGAGAGAGAGTGCCTCCATCTAATAAATGTATATCTTTACTTTGTTATTTCACTGAGTCAAAAAATATCTTGCTTCGACAAATAAATCATCTATATGAAATAAATTTTCTCAGCGGATGAGTAAGGAAATTTATTGATTCGATCGCATCGTATTCCTACCCATTTCTACGGCCGCATCGTTGTGTGTCAAGGTGAATCCACACGATTATTAAAAATTCGTTTAGGTAAAACCTCCAAAACAAGCAGAACCTAACGAGGCTAAACTGCAATTTATAGTTTTTAACGTTATATAACCCGTTCATGCGAGATGTACGCATTACAAATATATTAAATTATCTTCTGCAATTATGGTTTCGCATCTCACCCGTCGGTTATGTCGTTGCTGTCATTACACGGTCTATTAAGCTTAAAGAGAAAAACTAGTTTGCGTCACTTTTATCGAAATCACCGGCAACTTTGAATTCATAGAAAAGTACACATATATGTATAATTTATTCTAAATTCTATCAACTGTTTTGTAACAAAGGACAATAAATTGATTACCGCGTTAAGCAAGTCTAGAAATGGACAGGAATCAGAAGTATTAAGTTTATTTACGTTTGATATACGCGTGTGTTTATCTGTATTTGCAAGCAACATTATTTTTTTGTTAATCAAGATAGATTTATATCTTTATTAGGAAACACGAACTGCTATTTCTGAGACTAAAACGTCACTTGACACTTCAGGAAAGGTATCTCAATATTTAGTAATTATATGTGGCACTTTATTAGGTCCTGGAGGTCTCCCAGGTGGTCCAGGTGGAGCCGGTCCAGGAGGTTTCCCAGGCGGTCCAGGTGGAGCCGGACCTGGAGGTCGTCCAGGTGCCGGCGGCCCAGGAGGATTCCCAGGGGCTCCAGGCGGAGCCGGTCCTGGAGGTCGCCCAGGTTCCGGCGGCCCAGGAGGATTCCCAGGCGCTCCAGGCGGAGCCGGTCCTGGAGGTCGCCCAGGTGCCGGCGGTCCAGGAGGATTCCCAGGCGGTCCAGGCGGAGCCGGTCCTGGAGGTCGCCCAGGTGCCGGCGGTCCAGGAGGATTCCCAGGCGGTCCGGGTGGAGTCGGACCTGGAGGTCGTCCAGGTGCCGGCGGCCCAGGAGGATTCCCAGGCGCTCCGGGTGGAGGCGGTCCTGGAGGTCGCCCAGGCGCAGGAGGGCCAGGAGGATTCCCAGGCAGTCCGGGTGGAGTTGGACCTGGAGGTCGGCCAGGTGCGGGAGGGCCAGGAGGATTCCCAGGCGGTCCGGGTGGAGTCGGACCTGGTGGTCGACCAGGTGCGGGAGGGCCAGGAGGATTCTCAGGCGGTCCGGGTGGAGTCGGACCTGGAGGTCGACCAGGTGCGGGAGGGCCAGGAGGATTCCCAGGCGGTCCGGGTGGAGTCGGACCTGGAGGTCGACCAGGTGCGGGAGGGCCAGGAGGATTCCCAGGCGGTCCGGGAGGTGCGCCAGGTGCTAGTGGCCCCGGATGTTCCCCAGGTCGTCCGGGATGTGCCCCTGCTGGCGCTCCAGGAGGTTTCCCAGGCGCTCCAGGTGGAGCCGGTCCAGGAGGTCGCCCAGGTGCCGGCGGTCCAGGCGGCTTCCCAGGCGGTCCGGGTGGAGTCGGACCTGGAAGTCGACCAGGTGCAGGAGGGCCAGGAGGATTCCCAGGCGGTCCGGGTGGAGCAGGTCCAGGAGGTTACCCAAGTGGTCGTCCAGGTGCCGGAGGCCCTGGAGGAGCGCCAGGTGCTAGTGGCCCCGGATGTTCGCCAGGTCGTCCGGGATGTGCCCCTGGCGGAGCTCCAGGAGGTTTCCCAGGCGCTCCAGGTGGAGCCGGTCCAGGAGGTCGCCCAGGCGCCGGCGGTCCAGGAGGATTCCCAGGCGGTCCAGGTGGAGTCGGACCTGGAGGTCGACCAGGTGCAGGGGGGCCAGGAGGATTCCCAGGCGGTCCGAGTGGAGCAGGTCCAGGAGGTTACCCAAGTGGTCGTCCAGGTGCTGGAGGTCCCGGAGGAGCGCCAGGTGGCCCCGGATGTTCCCCAGGTCGTCCGGGATGTGCCCCTGGGGGCGGTGCTGGTAGTGGAATTGGCGGGGGTGCTGGTGGCGGTTACGGTGGCGGTCCCGGAGCTGGTGGAAGACCTGGGGCTGGATCCGACGTACCTATTACTCAACTAGGTAATGTCAATAGCGGCGACGGTACCTACAGCTACTCATACCAAACTGGAAATGGAATTAATGCTCAGGAACAAGGAGATGCTCGCGGTGATGGCACTCAGGCACAAGGTTCGTAGTTTTCTTATGTTGGTATCTGAAGGAACAAACTTAATTATCCAGCTTTCATTAAATAATCTCAAAACAGTAAATATCCTTTTGGAGTTTTCTAATCTATATTGTCTAATTTAAATATTTATTATTCAAAAGAAAACACAAAGTGCCGTAAATACAGACTTAAAAAAAAATCTAGAAAGCCGACGACTGAAAATTTATGACCAACAGAAAATCCAAACTCTATGCTACTATCTTTTGATGCCGATTTATGTTAGTTATACTTGCAAATCCAAATCTGGCCATCATAAGGTAAATAGTACTTGAAATGAATTTTTTTTTTAATTCTAATGGGTCGACAATTATTCATTTACAACACATGAAAGTTTTTGGGCCTTACTAGTTTTTAGGTACATTGCGATACATTTGAAATGACAGAGCGATTTAGATTTTTTTCTAGAACTGTCATCATAAAATACCTTTTGAAGGACTTCCATAAACTGTTCCATTTTTTCCTGGAATATTATATTTACTTATATTCACCAAGTTCATAATTTTGAAACAACAGTTTGAGAATTTGTTAGGTAAATAATCTGACTTAACTCTAAAACAAAATCTACTCTATCAGTTTTACTTACAAATTAGCTACAAATTATAAGATGTAGTTATTTCCTGTTCTTAAACAATTTGAATACGAAATTATGTTTTCATCAATTATTCTCCAGGTTCGTTCAGTTACACTGCCCCAGACGGCCAACAGGTCCAAATCCAATACACTGCCGACCAACAAGGATTCGTGCCTCAAGGATCCCACATCCCAACTTCGCCCCCTATTCCAGAAGAAATCCAAAAAGCCATCGATCAAAACTTGGCCGACGAAGCTCGCGGCGTCGTCGATGACGGACAATATAAACCTGGACCAGATGAAGGCGGTCGTCCAGGCGGCGCCGGTGGCCGCCCAGGTGGAATCGGCGGTGGTCCGGGAGGAATTGGCGGCCGCCCAGGTGCTGGCGGTCCAGGTGGTATCGGCGGTCGCCCTGGTGGTATTGGTGGTGCTCCAGGCGGTATTGGTGGTGCTGCAGGTGGTATTGGCGGTCGGCCAGGTGGTGGTGGACCAGGTGGTATCGGCGGTCGCCCTGGTGGTATTGGTGGTGCTCCAGGCGGAATTGGTGGTGCTCCAGGTGGTATTGGCGGCCGTCCAGGTGGTGGTGGTCCAGGTGGTATCGGCGGCGGTCCAGGTGGAGCTGGAGGTTTACCGCAGTACGGAGCCCCAGCTCCCTCTCCATTCAGACCTGGTTTGGGCTCCGGATTTGGCGGCCCTGGTGGTTACAGGTACTAATGGGATATTGTTGCTTGCCATAAACTATAGGGATGTAATATATTATTGTAAATAGATGTGTATGTAAATTATGAACAAATAAATTTGTATTTTGTAGTAAGTTTGTTTACATTTAATTTAATGCAACACTCAATTCAAGAAATGAGGCATATGAATTGTGGCAGAAATTTTCTTGATTACCTTCCGTCATCTGATGGAAAGGTTTTATTTTATCTTTACTGACATAGAATTCTTTTTGCAGTGGAATTGCCTCCAGAAAGACTAAATATATGGTCGAAACTTCGGCAAATTTTACGAAAAAATAGTTTTTTGTTAATGATTTCTAACCCACCAACTTTCAAAGAAATTCGTACGATTAAGGACACAACTACTATTTTGACTATTATTAATTTTAAGCACCGTTTTGCTGATTTCCACCCACCTCTCTTGATTGTTAATACATCAACTCTTGTATTAGCCAGTAACGTTGCCGACGATCTTCGGAATGAATATGTTTCAGAGTGTTCTAGTTACAAAAACTGTGCAATCTTATTAGGAATCATAGAAAGGGTATTCTTGCCAACTGGTTGGTTGTAACATCTACCTGCTTGATGGCGTATAAAAAAAGTGTGCAATTTCAGTTTTAATTTCCAATCTAATCTTGATATACTTCTTGAGAATTTCTACGTAAGAAACAGAACCCAGACGAGAAGTAATTCTAAACGTACGTGACATAATATTTTTAGAATCTGGAATTGCAACTATAATAATGTCATCGAAAGGGCAATAAAAATTCGCAGGCAGCATTTGCTGCACTTTCTATTTGAAAATCACTCATTTAAAAATAATAATTCAAAACCAGCAAAATTGCAACTTTTATGTAGCTTTGTTTATAGACAAACGACAAAATCCGAACAACCAAGGTGACTGCAAGATTTCGAATAATGTCAAAATAAATTGATTCAGAAATGTCAAAAAATAAAACCTAATCTGTATTTCATGAACTATAAAGAACTGTTGGAGCAGATAAAATGTTATACACCACGCAGCAGTATATTTTACCAGTCTCGGACTCGCTCCGCTCGGGCGCAAAATCGTCCTCAGCTGGTAAATAATACTTACCTCTTTTATGGTGTAAATAACTATTACAAGTTTATAAACAGCCTGTAGAGCAATCACTTGACTAAAGTTGTTTTCCTGTTTCTTTAAATAACATGTTTTTATGAAAATTATTTCCAGTTTTTCATATTGTGTTTCCGACTTCTCTCAATATCGATATACGTGCTCACTTATTACATGTACATATACAATGTTACAAAATACACCTACAGTATTGGCAGAATTTCCTTCCATGTGGAGTGTTATTCGATAACAAATCATTTCCGAGAAGAGTCTTTCATGATATATTGTCAATTTGCTTCGACTTTTTATAATAATCGTGCATGTTTTTAAGATTCATATGAGATTATCTTTTACGGACCGTAGTATGAAAAAACCGCGCGAAAATTTCGCAAGATATTATTTATATAAATGAAATTATCTGAATTAAAATTAAGTATTAAATTATACGTTAAATTATTAGCAAACATTAATATCTTACGCTCTTCAATTTCACATTTTACTGAATCGATTAGCGGCAATTTATTTTAATATAATTAACGTAATACTGTCACCTTTATGGAAAAAGTAAATGTTAATTGGCGACTATTTTATCTTATTTATGGAACATAGTTACCTTTATTTCAGGCGGCCGACTGGCCTTGATTGCGTTTTCGTATAGTTCGAGATGAACGTATTGAAAATAAAACTGTTTTTGAGAATTTTACAATAATTATATTTACTTCAACAGAATTTTACCTAGTTACATTAAATTTGAAACAAGTTTAAACTTACCTGAAGAATATTATTAAAGGAAATAATGGTACGCAAAAAACACTCAGACACGGTCCAATTCCAGATACCAACTGAACTGCGTATTGCTTGACAGCTTAGTACCTCGTGTTATCCGCCGCGCCGTTGTCTCATTGCTCGATATGAATTTTATCGAATTTTAAATTTATTACAACTCTAATTATTTTTTAGAATTAAGCATAAAGAAGTTCAAGATAAACATTGTATTTTATGGTATTCTATGCACGCGGTTATGTCAATATTCCTTAATTAATCGAACTTTTGTACATCAATTTGGAGGTTTTGATCATTTTTTTCTCGAAAATGGTTCAGTTTAGGACCCATAAGGATTTTTTGTTTATGTTAATGTATTCTATCGTCTGTTACAATTAAGGCAGTCAAACTTTTAATATCCTGTATATATTTTCAAAACTTCTAGAATATACCTTTATTTAAGAAAAAACTAGCGATTATAAGAAAATGTATTCTTCTATTGCTGTACAGGGTGTTCAAAATTAAATAAGAATGATATGCTACTTCGGAAACTTTCAGAGACAGAAGCGATGTTTAAAATAAAGGAACATTTCAGAATTTAATATATATTAATTTCTCGGAGACTAACAGAAAATAACTGAAATTTTTTGAAAAATGCAAAATTTTCAGATTTTGATTTTATCGTTTTCTGGATTTATTTGAAAAGCAGCAGCAGAATAGAAGCAATTTCTTCAGACCACTTATGCCCCTCTATTCGAATTTGGAATAAAATTTTATTGGGACGTTTCGTCTTTCAGTAACCAACATCAGTTCCAATTTTTTAAATATCTAATGTTTTCACAACATTGTATTCTTTATCTTCTTTCTAGTCCAGTGATGTGTAATATGTATTACGGTTTAGTGACATTTCGAACTGGAAAACTCATCATCACTGTTATGTTCCTTTCAAGAATACAATTTTCAAGGGCTCATAAATATGCAAAATATGAAATACCAACGTCTTCGAATAAAATTTTCTGAATTCTGTTATTTACATTTGTTTGCAATTTGATTTCAGAGGCTTTCTTAAATTATGAAAATATTGGTAAATCTCATTGGGAGTACAGTTTGTATTAGAATAAAATATACAAAGTTATGTATGATAAAAACTAAAAACTACAAACTAAGAGCGAAATAAAAAAATATTGCAGAAAAGAGAAGCAAACACTATTATTGTGATATTAATATCTGACTACATTGGTCCATCTGTTTAAAAAATAACCGAACTTTATTTTTAAACTTCAAATCAATAGTTTGAAGACAGCATCATTTCAACACTGATTTTAATTCAGGAAATAAGAAAAAATTACAAAGAGCCAGGTCTGGCTAGTAAGTAGGGCAAGGGAGGACAGTAATCTAATTTTTGGCACTGACAAATTGGCAATTTTAAACTTTATGAATTAATAAACCTTACTTACACTTATTTTTCTAAGTATTTAAGTATTCATCTTGAAGTCATATTCTTTGAAATTTCGTTTATAATGAATCCTTATCTATTCCAGTATACAGACTGTCTGGTATGTAGCAACATTAAAAAATGTTATTGTTCGTCTCAACCTATAAGGTCACAAGTGAAAATAATTGTTAAGAATGTGCTTCATCACTACGTTCTTTTACAATTTGTAATCCTCTTGGTCCCGTCTAGCCATATATTGCACAAAAATGGCAAAAAACACGCCCTGATTGTGGTTTCCGAAAATTTCCTTGAAATGTGTCGATTTTGTGAATATACACAGAATTTGTTTAATTGAAAAGATAACCGCCTGATTATTTTTTCATTAGTAACATTGATGTATCTAATTGTGTGCTGGAATTTTATTAAAACTCTGATGACATTGACGAACCTTTGGGTATTAAAATTGATATTTAATTAATAATAAACTAGAAAAGACAAACCTTATAATTGCAGTTATGAAAGAATGAAAAAGGATAGAAATTAATACAAATCAAAGAGAAAATTTGTTTCTATAATCATCTTCGAAAGTTTGCTGATATTGTTGATAAAAATTGTTGCTTATTCACATTTTTATACGCATTTTAAGTCTGACATCGACATTAGATTATAACGTCGTTTGTCTACTTTTTTTTGACCAAAATGAATGTAACGTCTACTTTTTTGGGTTCTCAGTTTCCACTCTCGTTTCCATCTGCCTTAAAGTCTTAAGAAATCGTCCTCCCCTAAAAAGTATAGCTTACATTAGACCACTAACGTAAGCAAACAATACAAGTGAAAGGTACCGTTCATTATCGAATAAAAAGTGTGTTTCGTACAGTTGCAAAATAAAACATTAGGATTTTAATATGCCGAGGAGAAATTAACTTACCGAATCATTAGCACCATGGTTTAACATGGGATCACTACCGGAAAAAGGGTTGCTAAAAGGTAAGACATGCTAATAGAGCTAATAAATTTCTTTATGCATATCGTTAGCGAATTGCATGTATAATGTTATATAAAATAATAAATGTTTGGATGCCTGTCCACACCGGCAATCCTGTATGGGCGTAGGTCGTCGTCCATTTTTCTCGTTGTTTACTTTTAATTATTGTAAGGATGTGAATGTTTTTTTATGTTCGTTGTTACGCATAAATTACGTTGGATTGTACCAGATGACTCAAATCTGATGACCTTTTGCAATAAGGACGTTAGTTTTTAATATTAACCTTTCTGACGACGGCAGTATAATTGATACTTTAAAAACAAGGAATAATTAATTTGATTGTTTTGTTTCCAATTTGTTCTCCGTTTAAGTAACATTAATTTTAAAAAGACCTTGTTTCATGCAGTGCTATCTATATTCAGCCAATAAATTAATTTTCAAAGGTGTTATTTATTTTTGGGAAGAATCCTGAGACACACCAGCTTTTGTTTTTAAAATAATACATTCTTATCAAATGACATTTCTCCTCAAAAAACTTTAATTTTTCCCCCACGCCTTCAGCGAGTCGAATCTGGAACTCCTATGGACATTTTTATTCGAAATTTTGTACACAAATGTACATGTAATACAGGAAAATAAATTTTCAAAGACGATGTACCTATAATGTTTATAAGGTTTAAAAAACAGAAGAAAAAGATCAAACTATTAATTTATCGTACTACATACTAATAAACGTTCATATTTTCAAGGTTCTTTCTTTTTTAAAAAAAATGTTGACTGGAATTTTAAAGCTGACGTATGTCAAGATTTAGTCAGTAGGAAAGTTAATTTATCCCCTACTATAAATTGGAAGATACCATTTAAATTTGTATCAGTCAACACCATAAAATCAATTTTGGTAAATAATCAGTGGCGTAGATATGAGCAATTGCTGTCATTAAAACAAAAACGTAATATCTCTTTGAAATTCGATTTTAATATCGTTGTTGCGATAGTGTTTACATTAGTTTTTCAAGTTTCAGAAATGGCTTACGTGTTATACAACTGGGAGCTGATGGATATCGTTTTAGTTTATGGTGAAGCAAGACAACATTTCTGTTAGTTCGTAGAGACTGGGTAAGACGGACTCAAATGTGTTTACACGTCGGTGGACAAAGTTTTAAACAGTTGTAACATTAGGTATGTCAAATTATTTATTATTTTATTAATTAAAACCATACACTAATTTTATTAATTAATAATAACAATAGCAGCAGAAGCAGTTAAATTTGCTGACATAAAATAGGTGATATAAAATTTTATTTATTTCTTTCCTTGAAAAAGAAAATCTTTCAATTTTTTATTACACTTTGCCGCCGTGCCGGTCGCCGACTTCATGCTTTACCTTAAGGTCAGGTTTTACAGTGGACCAGTTTCCAGTGTCGTACAAAAAAGTTATTAAATCATTTTCGAAATGCCTTTTTTAATTTTTTTACATTCAAAATTTTTTTTCTGTTCTGAATCGCCCTGTATAGAAGTTTTAGAACAATTTAGTACATATTGTTTTAATTTCTAGACCTTCAAAATTAATTTTACTACAATTTATAGTTCTTGTACATAATTTGTTAAACTTAATTTGATTTTCCCTTTCTTATAATAATATAGAACCAAAATAATTTTCGATTTTATTAATACATATGTCTTATTGAGCTATTAACCTAAATTTCAACTTAATCTATAACCAATAACGGTATTTATAAGTTCAATATAAACAGAAGTGCATATTTCCGTTTTTGGTAAAATCGTCAGGACCAAAAGGAGTAGGTAGATATTTAGCGGGTACTTCATTTTTAATTATGCGTTACAACTTAATTCACCATGACATTTCACGTGACGCAGCGAACAGGGAATCGAGTTTACTTCTTGTTACTACACTTATCCTCAATAGCTGCGATGAATTCATTATGAATCGAGTACAATACGATTTTTACTTTTACGTGAAGAAGCTTCATATGTCAGCCGCGACCTTCGGATCCATGTGAACCTCTTTCAGTACTAAATCAACCTAGAGAAGAAGGCTGAGCAGTCGATATTGATTTATTCAGGGTGATTTGCATACGAAGAGTAAAAATAAATATTGTGATTTCAATTTGTAGGCGTATATTCTAAAGTGGTACAAAAGATGTAAAGAAATAATACGTTTTGACAGATGAATGATTTTTTTAGGAGAATCGCAATAACATTACTTTTACGCAAATAATACATCGATTTAATTTTGTTATTCGTTCTTAAATGGGCATAAATGCTGCTAGGTAATGTAAAAAACTAGAATTTTTAATATTTTTGACGTCTTCGCTGTGTTTTATAATTCTGTATAACTTTTTATTATTATGTTTCATTAATTATTCAGTTTATAGTACGTATACCTTATTGTGTAACTTATTGCTTTTCAGAGAGTAGTATGGTACCTACCTATTTAAAATGACAGTACCTACGGTTAAAAAAATATAGTATTTTATCCTAAAACTAAAATATACAATATATAACGAACAGTTTTTAAAATACAACGAGTATTAATACTGGGGAATTTCATCACAACGTGGCAACAGCGCTTAGCCTAATGCTACACATCTGATGTATACCACGTGTGCACGCGGCAGACTTGTTTATTTTAATGTATTCTATCGTCTGTTAAAATTAAGGCAGTCAAACTTGTATCACCCTGTATAATTTAAGAATTATTTACTTTTTTTAAGATACGAAATGAAATATACGTATTTGTATTTCCCTAAAATCTGACACAATTAGATTGATTTTTGGTTTAAAAATGAGTTAAAAGGAACTGTGTACACATTCTTTGATTTAAATAAAATAGACATCTATTATTAAAACAGATCTATCGACTATTTTTAGCACTCTTTTGAAATTCGTTTCTTCAAAATTGCGAAGGAGATATTTCTCTGTAACTATGTTAGTGGAGGAGGATAAGGACACCAAATTAAAATACTTACATTGTTTTCTTTCGTTACAAAATATTCTTCCTATTTCATTATATTTAAAATAGTCTTTGAAATATAAAAAGAAAGCTGTTACTTTTAGAACTGTTTCCGAAAGCCCAAGGTTATTTTTTTTCTCGAAAACTTATCAGTAATGGTTTGATGAAATACACTCAAGTAACTGCAATCTGCGTCTGATTTCAATATACCTATTTTTTTTAATTGGCAGTTTCTTGCGGTTATGCCACATGTCATCAAAATTATTGTGTGTAGATAAATTCTGAATTAGAAATAAAAGCAATTATCGAAAAGCCATTCATCTCCTCTATTCAAAACGCAATTAAGAGTGGTTCCATTCAAGTCGATTCATTATTGCAATTATCGCAACTCGCTGAAAAATTTTAATATATCTGTCTCATTAGGTTCACATGGCCTGGGGGAGTCGATTGTGATTCTGTAATACATTTTTAAATCGTCTTCACTAGTGGGGATCCTCTTATAAAAAGTGTATGCCGAAATTTCTAACGCATCACAACATCAAGTAGTGTTCAATTACAAACATCATCATGAAACAAGTAAGAATTTTGTTGTTGTTACATAATAATGTGTAATGATATTACGCGTCGTTTCTGTGTAGTGCCTTTCTATAGTGGATACCAGCGCAAACGCTGTCGCTTCTGTAAATTATAACAGAAAATCGTATTTACCAGTATTAAACAAAACATATGTATTTTTAGTTTTTGACTCGGATTTTTCTTGTACAATTTTAAAAAATTCTGCAACTGCAAATATTTGAAACTGTTAACCATGTTTAAATCGAAAGAAATTAGAATTATAATACACTAGAATTCCAGTAAATGTTTTTGAAATTATAAAAAAAAACTGTACTGGTGTCACACTATAGAACTAATATTTATAGTTTTTGCTTCAAAAACACTTACTCAACCATTTTAGTAATTTAACAGGAGTTTTCACATTTTGAATTTAGGTTGGCTGTTTAATTTTTTCTTCGTCTTTGATATTTATTGACAAAAACTAATTAATAATTTTGCAATTTTCCAGTTAAGATACTGTTTTGGGCGTAAATATACACTGAATATAGAAAAAAGACGATAATTTAATTTGCAGTCCCTTAAATTTAGTCAACTGAAAGCAAGGTTGAAATTTTTGGCACTCTTTTTTAAACTTTCGTGATCTAATAAAACAGATTGTACTGGCTTGGAGATCTAAATCTCAATTAAAAACGTGGGACTGATTCATAGTTATAACAATTGCGATCTATTCTTAAAAAAACTAGGACGCCACTTCTTTGGCGCTACCCATCTTTCCTTGTTATGAAACGACTTTAATGAGCTTGGAAGATACTTGTGCAACACATCGACAGCATTAATAATTATTTTTGTAACTTATTAATGTGCATTCGCTTTATTATTAAAAAGTAAACTACTGAGGACGGCAAATCACGCATCAATCACATCTTGCGACCTTATTAAATGTAAAAATGATGTTATTGTAATAGTAGATGTCTGGTGCTGTTTACTCTCACAATTAAGTTAAATTTATTTATGTATCCTTTGATTCAATTGATAAACAGTTTGTTATTCGTATTTCACAACTGAATTCAACAATAACAAATTTGAAATTATAATTATCGTTCTTCTAAATAACCCTCGGAATGTTTTTGTACCCAAAAAACTATTTTTTAAGGTCATATTGGCACTCGCTCTCTTTGGCTTCGCCGCTTGCGCTCGCCTTGACAGCAAATATCTTCCACCAAATCAAGGGGGCGGCGGCGGCGCCCAGTACAACGGACCTACACCCTTCCAAGGACAAGGCCACCAGGGACAACAAGGACAGCAAGGACAATACTCTGGTTCCACCCAAGGACAACAAGGTCAATACTCAGGCTCCAGCCAAGGCCAACAAGGACAATACTCAGGCTCCAGCCAAGGCCAACAAGGACAATACTCAGGCTCCAGTCAAGGCCAACAAGGACAATACTCAGGCTCCAGCCAAGGACAACAAGGACAATACTCAGGCTCCAGCCAAGGACAATACTCTGCTCAGCAAGGCGGTCACCAAGCAGGACAATACTCTGCCTCCAACCAAGTCCCAATCCTCCGCCTTGAGAACAACAACAACGGAGATGGCACCTACAACTACGCCGTAGAGACCGGTGATGGTATCAACATCCAAGAAGAAGGAGACGCCAGAGGAGACGGCACCAAAGCTCATGGTGGATTCTCTTACACCGCCCCAGACGGCCAACAGATCCAGATCCAATATACCGCCGATGAAAACGGTTTCCAACCCCAAGGGGAACACTTGCCAACTCCACCACCAATCCCAGAAGAGATCCAGAGGGCTATCGAACAGAATTTGGCTGATGAGGCTAATGGTATCGTAGATGATGGACAGTACAGGGACGACTCCGGTCCTAGCCAGAAATATGGCGCCCCATCCGGCGGACAGGGTCAGTACAATGCCCCAGCCGCTTCACAGAACCAATACAACGCAGCCGCTTCTGGAGGAAGCCAAGGAGGATACAAATACTAGAGTGCCATTATTTACTAGAATTAAGTTGTAAATAAATTCTTTTGTATATGTTTGCTTTTTATTCCCAACTTTCTTTCCAAACACATTATTTCTAAAGTAAATTTAATAACTAAAATTGGTGTCTGCATGATGTTCAGACCAAGTTATAATTTCAGAAAATTTCAGTTTTGATAATCTTACAGTATAAAACCACATATTTCTTAGACGTTATTCAAATATTCAAGATTATTGACACTACCTCATGATGAAACTTAGGCCTAATCATATAAGACTCAAGAAAACAAAACTATGGATAATATGATAACATTTGTTTGTGACATTTTAATTAATTGTGTCTAAAATTATGTAAATACGAAATCTTCATGTAACACACATTTTTTATTAAGCAACGTCATTAGTATTCTTTGGATAATATGATGTGTAATTTATTAAGAAAATAGGATTTGGCAAGTTAGTACCTGCCTAATCTTCATATCTAGAGATGAGACTACAAACGAATATAAATTTAACTTGTACTTTCTCTTTTCGGTTTAAAAAATTGTGTACTTATTTACCTAATAAAACCTTTAATAGGTATTTCATAAATGATGTTAATAAATCTTAGTATACCTACTAACATAATTTTCACGAGAATAGTAGGCATTTTGAGCATATGTTGTAGTTTGTTTTGTACTTATGCGTTTCAAAATTACTGAATTTTGCTTTTTGATAAGTATCTAAATTATTTTTAATACGCATGATTATTTGGATGACGTGAATCTTTAGTTACTTTAATTACATATTTTTCAAATCCATAATTTGATTAAAAGTCAAATTCCCGGTTTAAGAGATTCATATTTACTAAAATTCGAGCACAACACTATATTCGTACTACAAAATCGATACATTTTGTTTTATTTATTTAAAAACTGGAAAACAATTGTTTTGAAATTTACTAAATATTTCACAATAATAGTTGTTTACATTTTTTCTGTAGGACAAATGGCAGTCAAACTCCTTACACCCTCTAGAAACCATACTGATATTGGCTGACTAGTATTGCTTCAGTTGTGAGATGGAATACACTTATTATTACCATGAAGTGCTATCTTGATTTTCCTCACTTTCATTAAATTTCATTAAATCGAGCTTAATAGATTACAATTTTGATATAAGGCAATAAGATATTTCGAAACCTTTCCGATTTGGTTCTGTTGGCTACATTTATGTACAAGTATTGTTTGATAATGGACTTATACAAAAATTATTTTTTACCATTGATGTGTGTTGATGCTAAATTATTCTAAATTCTAGAAATGATTTATAAAATAAATATTTACAACGATAAATTCTGTAATTATCGTTGTAAGTGCTGATTATTTCCTCGACTGTAATCAAGAAGTATGGTATTTAAGCACACATTTTTTGTTTATAGAAAGTATGAATAACTAGAAGACTTGTGTGGAAGAAGGACGGCATATTATTATTTGGTAGGTCATATTAAATAATTAATTTTTACATCCATTAAAATAGACATTTTTTTATATAAAAAAATTACGATTTATTTTCTATATAACTTATAGCTACATATAACTACAGTATCAGTTAAAACTTATATCCAGTCTGTGGTCTAGTGGGAGCTCCATACTTGTTTTGTGCATACTGGGCAGGTCTGTACTGCTGAGCAGTGTTGTATTTCTGTGGGGTATATTTTGTAGGTGTATTGTACTGCTGGGTAGCAACATTCTGCTGTTGCCCATAACTTTGACTTGGTCCGGCCCTGTACTGACCGTCGTCCACGACCCCGCGCCTCTCGTCAGCCAAATTTTGCTCGATGGACCTGAGAATTGGACCAGTCAGCCCAGCCGGTAAATGACTCCCTTGGGGTATGAAACCGTTCTCATCTGCGGTGTACTGAAGTTGAATGGGTTGTCCGTTTGGAGACGTGTAGGAGAATCCTCCTTGAGCCCTGGTGCCTTCTCCTCTCGCATCGCCTTGTTCCTGTCCAGAAATGCCATCACCGGTTTCATAGGCGTAGGTGTAGGTGCCGTCGCCGCTGTTGCTCGAGTCTAAGCGGAGGATGGGGACCTGTTGGTATGATGAACCGTAGTACTGAGATTGAGATGCTGGTGCCACATATTGACTGGTTGGGCTGGTGTTCGATGGGTAGCGTCTTGGTGGGGAGTATACGCCGCAGGCAGCGAATCCAAAGAGAGTGAGGAACAATATCTGCAAATGTTGGAATTGTGTGAAAACAACAGTTCACAATTGTCAATCTAGCAAAAATGCCGACACTTTTGACTGTATTAATACGTATGCGCCATTTTTTAAAAGAAAACTTGTTGAGAACTGCCGATTTCACTGACGTTGATCTGTGTACAGTGTTGTGATCACTAAAAATATATTGAAAAGGTACTTAAAAGAAAAACACCTTTAAAAATAATAACTGCCTCAATAATCAGTGTTTAAAATAAGAATTTGTTAATTTTTTTATCATTTATAACATTATTTAATGGTTTCAGTGTGTCATAAATGTGTTTTTATTAGTTTTTTTGGAAAGATCGTTTTGTTTTACATAATTATTATTCTATCTCATCTATGAAGTTATTCTTCTAGCTTACTTAGGATATTTGGTATCAAAGAGCGCATATGATTTCATCTGATGAGAATTTTACAGAAATATTAGGCAAAATTTGAATTAATTAAGTAAAAATATAATATTTATGTGACAATTTTCCACCCTAGTATCTTGAGAAAATTAAATACGAAAATTCTCTTCTACCACTGGCATATTTGAGTAAAGTATCTATTGCAAAATTTTCCTGCAAGTTCTCGTAGACTTTAGTTAGTTTTTCGGCATATTTTAAAGACATTTCATATAAATTGTCATAAATTCATTCAATTAAATAAAAAATGATGTCCCTATTTATTATGCCAGACGAAAAAAAAAGTGTTATTGGTCTAAAATGAAACACTTGGAAAATTAGGAGATTTGGCCAGGGTCCCTTGTATTCCGTTACAATATTTTATTTTTTAGTCATCTCAGTATCCCAATTTTTGTAAAGATACACAGTTCCAATAAAGCTTGTTTAATTTCAGGATTATCTCTAATGAATAAAACAAAAATGTAGACCACCGAAGCATCATTTTAGTTCCACCAGTATAATAATCCGGGACATATTTTTTTCCAAAATCGGAAAAAAATTAAGTAAATTTCTTCACAATATTCTGAAAAAATGAGCAAAATCAGTGAAAAATTTTAGAACAACAACGATTTTACGATGGAAAAATTTACTGATTATAATTTAAAATAAATAAAACTATTTTTTATATAAAATATGTAAAAAAGGAAATCTCTTAAATTAACAATAACCTTGAAATATATGACTAAAAAAATAATTTATTCGCAAGTTCTCACCTTTGAGATACTAATTAGGAAAACATGTTAATATATGTCCTAATTCTTGAATTATACTAGAAAATTCAAGTTCATCGTTGTTTTGTTATATAATCGTAAGTTCATGACCCTTTAATTGCTTTTTTTTTATGCTAAAATATAGTGAAATCCTTCTTTATGGGAGGATTATGTAGATTTTTTATATGTTAATAAATTAAACCAGACATATGACATAAAAACTTGTTTTCGTTCTGACTCATCTTCATATTCCACTTTGACGAAAAATATACAATACCTATATGTATATGTACGAATACGTTTTAATAAACTATACCGAATGTTTACTAGTTTAATTTAAATAAACTTAAAAAATTCGAATAATACATAAAATTGTCTATAAAATTTACGTAGAAAATATATTTTTGATTTTATTGCACATTAAATGAAAAGTGTAGTTTTTAATATTCATATAAGAACGTGAAATTTATATATAAAAAAATATTCTAAATCTAGTATTATTGTCTCGCATTATTTTTTTATTTGATAATTTCATTGCTTATGCTTTCACTAAATATCATAAACCTGACATAGCTTATTTGAATTTACACTAAACAATCATTTTATATTTTTTCTTCTGTAATATTCAAAATTTTAAATCTATTTAAATAAAAATAATACTGAGTTTATGTATTCTTGATTCTGATATTTCTAAATAGAACAAGATTATTTTGTGGCATAGGTTCCTTTTATATTTTTTCAATTTTTAAAAAAATTACAGTGGAAAAACACCCGAAAAGAAAAAATGACAATCATTTATTTATCTTTTTTTTAACCTCGCGAAACGGCCATTGCATTATAAATATTTATTTGAGACATTTCCTAAATAGTTGTTATTTTTTTGTCGTTTACTGAAGTACTTCAGTACTTCACTATCTCATTTCAAAGTAGGCCCAAATAAGTAGGTATATTAAAAACAACCTTTGACTTATCCCTAAGGCGTAAGTTTAGTTTTTAAAATGTTTAATTTGGACTATGGCAAAATACCAAAAGAGAAAAAATGTGACTGTAGTGGTACATAAAAATTGTAATCATCAAACATAGCAAGCACAGTTGTCATCACCTATTTTAATTTTAAAAAAATCATTACTTCCATGCTAGTTCTAATAATAACAATAATCTATGTAGTGTATAGTGTGTTTTCTTAAAATACTAGACAAATGGTCTTAAAAAATTTTAAAATCCACAAATATTTTTATATCCAATATTCCAAGTTTAAATTTCTATATTATTCTATAAGTACTTTGTACATGCGAATATGTTTGTATTAATTAAAAAAAAGTCTTACTTGCTTCATCTTGAAAGAACTGAGCACCTGTAATTTGTGATGCCTCAAAAATTTGGCAAACGCCTTTTATAGAGACGCCACCCCACCCACAATTCCAGCGGGATCTTAAGATGTAATTCGGAACTCGTTAACGCCTTTCGGACGATGATCCTACACTGATTAATAAATCAAGCAGAGCCTCGAGTTTCCACGAGATCTTGATTAATAGATACGTTAATTTGGTAGCAACAGTACAGAAACGTGTACACACAAAAAATCACCACTTGTGAGATCATCATTTTCTCGAATAATTTTTGTTGTGTGGAACCCAACGCAAATAAACTAAATAGGAGCCGTCAAAGTCTGAAATTATTGTCTTAAATGTTATGGAATTTATGCCTCTCAATCAAAGGTAGCATTGTTAGAAGCCTGTAATTTGCAAGCCGTTGTATGAAGCTGTAATGTTTTTTACTTGATCCAGGACGTTCACCTGACCACAGTTTTATGTCATAAAAATAAGTTGTATATGTAAAAAAAGTTTATTAATTATCCAGTCTGTGAGTTGTCTATATTTCTCTCTAATAGTTGCATTGCCTTGAACTTGTATTTAAACTTTTATTGTACAATGTCATTCGCAAAACAAACATTCTTTGTTCTCGGGTTAAATCATAAAAATGGAATAACAAATTTAAAATTTACGTATTATAATTTTTAATAAATTATACAAGAGCAGAGACAGGCATTTGGTTAGGCAAATATAATTTCATGAAAACAGCCCTTGGCTGATTCTTTCGGACAGGGGTTAAACTACTTTTTTTACAGGCGACACAAATATGAAGGGAATATAAGGTCCAATCAGAAAATATAGACCAGGTCGGATCTGTTTTGAGGTGGATGTGAGAGCAATTTTTTTTGGATTACCTTCAGTATAACTCACATAATAAAAGTGTAGATCTGGGCGAGAACCGGAACATTTTCAAAATTGCAAAAATGTTTAAAAAATTTACAAAAATACCTATTTTATCTGAGTTTTTTACTTATATCTTGGAACCTATGCATTTTGGAAGAATATTGATGAGGAAAAGGAGTTTTAGAATTGAACTTTGCACAATATACTGTAAGTTAAAAATGTTTAAATTTATAACCAATGTTGCAAAATAGCAATAATTGATGAAAAAAGGCAAAATAATCAAGTTTTTTGAATAATTTTTTTAAAATATTTTAAATGCTCCAAGGGCATTCTAATTTTGGTAAAAAAAACTTTAGAGTATAATAAAACAACACACCAAATTTCATTAAAATCGATTCTATAGTTTTTGCAAAATAATTTTTTGAAATGTTACATAGCCTCAAATCAAAATAGAACTACTTGAAATTTTCATAGAAAAGACCGCTCAACCTTTCAAATGGTTTTTTGAAAAATTGAAACCGATTGATTGAAGTTACCTCTTTTTTTAATTTTTTAATTTTTTTTTTAAATTTTTAAACAATTAGATTACATTTATCAATTTGCAATTTAGTTTTTTCTCAAAAACTATAATTTTAGAGTACTATTTTTTCTTAATTTTATTTGTATTACCAAAAAAATTAATTTCCACATATTTTTTTTAAATTTGTTTTTTCATCAATTATTGCTATTTTGCAACATCGATAATATATTTACACATTTTTGACTTGCAGTATATTGTGCAAAATTCAATTCTAAAACTTTTTTCTATTCAATATTCTTCCAAAATACATAGGTTCCAAGATACAAGTAAAAGCTCAGATAAAATAGGTATTTTTTAAATTTTAAAACATTTTTGCAATATTGAAAATGTTCCGGACCTCGCCCAGATCTACACTTTTATTATGTGACTTGTACTGAAGATAATTGAGAAAAAAATTTGCTTGCCCCCTCTGACATCCACCTCAAAACATATCCGCCCTGGTCTATATTTTCTGATTGGACCTCTTATATATTTTATTGAAATTATTTTTTGTTTATGTAAAATATATTAAACGATTATATAAGTTTACCGTCTGTAATTTGTAGTATGTCTATTAAATTTCTGTATCTTCAGGTGGTGTATAAATTACCATATTTTGAATATTTATAGTTATATTATAATATGGAAATTTCTTCTTTCTACCAATAATACTGTCCTAATGTATGAAGGCGATAAGAACATCTGGCAATTATTTGGTTGTTAATCCCAAGTGTGTAGAGTCGTCTTTTAGCCAAAAAAACCAGTCATTTAAGTTTTATGTTAGCTATAAATTTGTAATTTGTTATTTGTCTATTTAAAATTATTCTTACATAATTAGATATTCCAAACAAGTAAGTTTTATGTTCTGATTTGCGACTTTGTTAATTTAAGAAAAATACTGGATTTTCTCCATTTCGACTTAAAAACTAAAATTGTTTTGTAAATATCATAACATTTCCGACCTTTTTTTTATAAAATCATATGACCTCTATTGTGGTGATTTCCCGATTAGATTAGAGCATGAGTAATTTAACATTAATTGAGAAGTCACTTCAAGACCACCAAAACTGCTGTGATGTCAGTACCTAGTTAGATAATCAAATTAAAACGATATATTTTAGGTCACATCGTTACACAGTAGCTGTTTGAACGTCTAGTTTTTTTAGTGTAAGTACTTATGTCAACCTCCTATATATGCATTAGTACTAAAAAAAAGAAGTAGAGATTTAGTAAAAAAATAACAGCCAAATAGTACGTATACAGAACTTTGAAACATTGCATGTAATAATAAAAATAGTTTATTACTATATTATTTTCAAAGTACAATTATTATTTACGTGGAAAATTACCTGTAATGCTTGACCTGTGTGCCCGCAGGTAAATAATGACGAGTGTTTATAAAAATAATAGAAATATTTATATTAGCCATTGTTTTTAATATTTTTTGTTCTGAACCGATCGATCGTCGAAAACATATAATTAAAGTATTACTTCCAAGAAAGACCTGAATATTTTAGTCAATAGTCAATAGTCCGCTGTCAAAATAAAATGATTGAATATTTAAAATGTTGAACATAATAAGATAAATCATTACTCTCATGAAATTAAGCTCGATGGGACTTGGGTTTATCTCAAAGACCATTTGAGATAGAAAAAACGATCTAGGTATGTTTCTTGGTCCCAATTTTAGCGAAAAAACAATGACGTCAATCGCAGATATATCGATATTTTGCATGGAGCATTTCGAGTAAATCCCAAATTTTATCGAAATTGTGTACCTTCTATATAGTATTCTATGTACTCTATGATATCATGGTCATAGTTGATGCTATTATTTCAACTGCACAGTCCTTTTGATTTTCTTTTCAACCAATATGACTTTTCAACCAAAATCTGTTGGATGTGTCATCAATTATTAACCAGCTGGAACCAAAATATTGGTTACCATAGGAGCTGATCATAATTATAACGTCTTGGTTTAGGAACGGATGAAGAATTTTAAGGACGGTTTGCAAAATCATAAATAATATTTATTTACAGTTAATACAGTCACAAGTAACAAAAAATCCATTCTAATATCTGTAACCTCCTTGACTTCCTTGGGAGGAAATTGGAGCTCTATATTGCTGCTGGGATTGGGCAGGTGCTCTAAATTGAGGAGCTCCAGGTGCTCTATACTGAGAAGCTGCAGGTGCTCTATATTGGGAACTTCCAACTGATCTGAATTGGGCAGTTGGAGATGCTCTAAATTGAGGAGCGCCATACTGTTGTTGAGGAGCGGATGGAGCGCCATACTGTTGCTGAGCAGCTGCTGGAGCGCCATATTGCTGTTGGAGATTAGATGGGGCACCATATTGCTGTTGGGGAGCGGATGGGGCACCATATTGCTGCTGAGGTTGATTGTACTGGCCTTCCTGGTATCCTCCGCGTGCTTCAGCGGCTTTGTTCAATTCAATAGACTTGAGGATGGCTTCTGATGGGACTGGGATATGAGAGCCTTGTGGTTGGAAACCGTTTTCGTCTGCTGTATACTGGACGGAGATTTGTTCTCCTTCCGGGGAAGTGTAAGAGTAGCTTCCCTGGGCAAGTTGAGCGTCTCCCCTCAAGGCGCCTTCTTCCTGGGCGGCTATACCGTCAGCAGTTTCGTAGGCGTAGCTGTAGGAACCATCTCCAGCGTTTGGGTTGTTGTCCAAACGGAGGATGGGGACTTGGTTGGCAGCTGGTGCGGAATAGTGACCAACAGCACCAGAGGCAGAGTACTGATCAGCTCCTGAAGGACCTTGGTACCGACCTGCCTCGGAGTATTGTCCGGAGGATCCTCTTTGGTTTGGCGGAAGGTACTGACTGTCGAGACGACCACAGGCCGCGAAGCCAAAGAGAGCTGTTACTAAAAGTATCTGAAAGGTGTATTGGAATTATTATTAGGTGCAGTTTTTTAGTTCCTTTAATATACAGGTATATAGTCGTGTTGTTACGTTGCTTAATATAATTATTAACATCTCTTAATCTTCATTAAAAACGACGTGATATCGATATGTATGATTATGTAACTTTTAGATACTCACTTGTTTCATATTGGAAGTGATCGTTGAACTTGAACTGGCGGATGTACTGTATGTAATACAATTTCGGCAGCTCGCTTTTATATGATGATATTACTCCCACCTGAAAGTGATGTACTAAATAAATGATCTTATTTACTGAAGATTCGATTTAGGCGCAAGGTGAAATCAGGTTCATCTTATGACCAAATGTGGAGTATTACTTTCTTGTAATTAAAGCTTGCTGTTACTGTACGTAAAAAAATATTAACTTTTATTTCAGATTGTCAGCAGAAAAGTGCATATATTATCTAGTAATCGATAAGTGGAAGTATCTTTTGGCGTAAACAACATTTTGAGTATTTAAATAGAAATTTATGAGTCACTTTGACAATTTTTATTTAAACCCCAATCTATTTTGAAATCTTTTTTTTTCCTTTTGTTTGATTGTCCTAAGGATATCTTTTCAAACTGATCTTTATACATATTATTGTTCAATAATAATGATTTAGAATAAACAGAAACACTAATATAAAAGTAAAGTAAATGTGATGTTTTACAAATAAATTAATCATATTATTGTTATTGACATGTCTGTCAATACGTCCCGTTTGATGAGTCCTAAATCACGAGAATAGAGTTCTCAAGATAAAATAGAGGAAGGTTTTTAACTAGATCAAAAATATGTCGAGATATTTGTTAATTTCTGTAGTAATTTTATTTTTTTCTGTGTTTATTTGGATACACTTGTGAAAAAAAATCTAAAAATTAATACTCGTCTGCTTAAAGGATTAGTCAGGATTTTTATTAAGGCTGGAGTTTTGACAAGAAATCGCACTTTTAGTAAAACAGTGATAGAACAAGTAGATCCATCCAGAAAGTGACAAGCGTAAAGCTAAACTAAAGCAACTGCCTTTAATTTTTCGTATTGAAAGATCACGGAGAACAAGTAAATATCAGAAAATGTAACTTTCCAGCAAGTAAAGATATGCAATAACTATGATTAGTGCATGTATTAATAATTCCCTAAAAGCATTTTGCGGGTTGTGATTATGTTTATAGTACCGTACGCGATTTTTTGTATGTTCAACAGGCGTGGAAAATTCGTGGAAACGTACGATAAACATACGAGGTAAAAATATTATTTTGAGTGTATTGTCAGTTGTCTTATACCCTGAAGAAAACTTATATAACTGGTACAGTGTAGAGGTATTGTTTCTAACTTTCTTAGATTTTCCCATATGCTTTACAAAAAATTGCGCATATAAACCCCCTTAAACAATTTTTGTCTAACCGAATATGTCACAATGATAAGCGTAAAAATACATATTACACACTTTAATAAGTTTTCCAAAATCAATCCTTTTGATTTCCAAAACAACAAATGTTGTTACTTTTTGAAATAAAGCTGTCAAACATTTCAAAAAAACAATATTCATAATTTTGAAATCTAAGACAGGTTTGTTGAAATGTTCAGAAATTTAAATGTTTGATATAATGACCTATACCCTGTGTAATACTTTTGGTTAGACACAAAAATAATGGGTTTGTGTAAATATTTTTTTAATTTTTTCAAAGGTTCAAATTAACAGAGAAAATATATATTTTGACAAATTTACAAACTGTAAACAACGTTGTAATAAATTACTGGAAAAATTTATTTAAAAATTTAGTTTGCGTAATTTGTTATATCTATTATAACTATGGAACAGTTGAATTTTTGACATATGAAGTAAAAAAAAATTATGACATATTTTAACTTCTGCTTATAAATATACTTAAAAAATCAAAATATATTAAATGTCCTAAATATTGATGCAGTCCACACCCTGTGTTTACCTATATTTAAAATTGCTTCAATTGCCACCAGTTTTGACCAAGATCATTAGAATTTATCAGTTTGAAACATACTTTTAATTATTATTATGTAATAATAAAGGGTAATTATTATTTTAGCCTGTCGCTTTCTTGAAAATTTTGAATTGACAGGAGGGTGGATATTTGTAAATTATATGTACTTTATTATGTGTTGTATTATTTTAAATAGGGATGTACATATTATTTTGATTTGACCTGGAAACCCAAAGCAAACCCATATTATATTGAAATCTGGCAGTGCCAAATAAATGTCAGAGTGATGGTGATCGACAAAACCTACAGCTTGATCAAAATTGTTTTGTCCGAGAGATCAGAAGAAAGTGCGTTATAGAAGTGACGAAGACAAGAGGCCCTAATAGTAAAGCAGGTATCTGCGCAAAAATGTTACTGAGGTATAGTAAATATAGTTATTTAATGGAGGTTTTGTATTATTAAGTTAAATATGTGAACAAATTACCTCTGTGAATCTAAAACTAGAGCACAGTATGAAATTGATGAAGCTGTATTTATTGAACAAGACAAAATATGAATTTTATAGAAATTAAATCGATGCGATAAATGATTACAGTAACGCTTCTTCTAGTTTATTCCGAAAATCCATCTGAAAGAGGAGATTTCCTCAATTTTTTATGTTAGAGTTAAAAATCCACATAATATGTTAAATATCAGTACCTAAATATAACAGGAAAATGCGATGAACTTATGCGTTGTGTTCAGATAAAAAGCGAATAAGGAAACACAATTTACAAAATAATAAATAAAGTTTATTAACAGCTAATGTGATGTGATGACAAGTCGTATCTTAGTATCTATAACCCCCTTGTCCTCCTCGAGAGGTAGCTGGAGCTCCGTACTGTGGTTGAGGTTGAAAAGGCGCCCTGTATTGGGAAGCTGCTGGTGATTTGTACTGAGAAGCTTGTGGTGCCTTGAACTGAGGAGCAGTTGGAGCGCCATATTGTTGTTGAGGAACAGCGGGGGCACCATATTGCTGCTGAGGTGCTGGAGCACCGTATTGCTGTTGGGGTTCATTGTACTGGTTTCCTCCACGGGATGCTTCAGCTTGATTGAATTCAATGGACTTGAGAATGGCTTCTGGGATTGGTGGTGGGGTAGGGAGGTGGGAGCCTTGGGGTTGGAAACCGTTTTCGTCTGCGGTGTACTGGATGGAAACTTGTTCACCCTCGGGAGAAGTGTAGGAATAGCTTCCGTGAGCAAGCTGCGCTTCTCCTCTTAAAGAACCTTCTTCTTGAGCGGCGATACCATCAGCAGTTTCGTAGGCGTAGCTGTAAGAGCCATCTCCAGCGTTTGGGTTGTTGTCCAAGCGGAGGATGGGGACTTGGTTGGCAGCTGGTGTAGAGTAGTGGCCACCAGCCCCTGATGCAGAGTACTGACCAGCTGCTGATGTACCAGCACCGGAATATTGTCCAGATGATCCTCTTTGGTTTGGTGGAAGGTACTGACTGTCACGGTGACCACAGGCCGCGATACCAAAGAGAGCTGTTACTAGAAGTATCTGAAAAACACATTACAAAGTTCTATATCGTACTAATACTATCACACAGATGATTAAAATGGCTTCTGATAATGAAATTTGTTTTAATAAACACAATGAAAGAAATCTTGCAAATTATTTCTATGACTCAATTTGTTCCAAATGAAATCAGTCTAATATCTAGACATGTGGTATTTGATTATGTAATTCAGACTGCTTACTTGTTTCATGTTGAAAGTGAACGTTGAACTTGAACTAATGAGATCTACTGTTATAAAATTCTAGTAGTCCGCTTTTATACGAAGAAGGTTTTACTCCCACCTGAAGATGCTCCAAATAAATGAACCTTTTTTTATTGCAACATCGTTACGCTGAGAAGGTAAAATCAGGTCCACCTTGTGATGAATATATGAAGGCGTCAGTTTTTGGTTACAATTTTGCAAGTACGTACTTTTAATTATAAATTGCAAAATTGACATTACCACACATGAAGATGATAAGTACTAATAATGAATAATATGTAAGTTCTAAATGACTTTCTTCTTAAAATGGAAAAAGTTATATAAATAATTATCTAAACTTATGTAGAAACAACAAAATTTTCCTTTATCTTTTACTAGAATTTAAGTTAGTACCTGCTTTCAATTTATATGACAAGTAATTTTACAAAATATACATTTTTATTATTGTTTTAAATAATTAGATAATAGGTAATACCAAAATTATTAAATTTTACATTTCATAAAATTAACTTAGTTTTTTACTTTTTTCTTAATAGGTCAACACTTATTGGAAAATTTGTAATTAATTGGAAAATTTGTAATTAAGTTCACAATTCATACAGCAATTGATGGAAACAAAATAAATAACATTGTAAACTAATTATCAGAAATAAAGGACATATTGTACTACAACAAAATATTATTATATTGAGCTTAATATAATATGCTATATGAGAAGAGTAATAAAAAACTTGGAATAGTCGTGTAATATACTTAAATCAAATGGTTATTATAAATAATCGACTGTCGAAATGATACATAGCATAAACCAATAATAAATTATCATATGAATGAGCTGACTGAAGTGATGAATTTGAGGTACAATTTAAAATGAGGTAGGACACCATGGGGAAAGGTTATTAGTTAATTTCTAGGTTATGAAATCTTGTGTATCTTATAGCTACTTGCATCACAAATCAACCCATCAGTCATTATATCATTGTATTCATTGTATTCCATGTCGTTTAAAAAAATACCACATTTATCCAATGTCTCTGAGGATGTCTGAATTTACTTCATAAATTGATCAAACTTGGGTTAATATTTAATTGAAGGCAAATATATTACAGTATATCTGTCAACTAGTGATGGAGAAATTGACATAGGTATTGTATTTTCGAAATTGAGCGAGTTGCACTAACAAAATTTAGACAGCTGATACAATGCGAAACATCGCCTTAATGTTAAAAATGTTGTCACCGCCATTCTTGGTGGTGAAACTTCGAAATAGTTGGAATTATTCGCTTTTCGTAGCTAAAAACATAAATAGGTATTGTATTTTCGAAACCGAGAGAGTTGCACTAACCAAATTTGGACAAGATATAGCTAATACAATGCGAAACATCGTTTTAATGTTAAAAATGTTGTCACCGCCGTTCTTGGTGGTAAAAATTCGAAATATTTGGAATTATGGAATTATTCAATTGCCGTGGCACATACATGAAATTGAGAAGCACTATTACGGAGATCCCTCGGATTTCGACGCCACTGAATACTTTAGAAATTGCTGAGATATAATTCCGAGAATAGAATAAGCCAATAAAGTTCTGTTATAGGAACTATTGTGACAATTTATGTGGCAGGTGCGTGCCTTGAAATTTTCTTCCAATGTCTTTCTACTTCGGGTGTCGAATGCGGTTAATTCCAAGACTGTGACGCGGGGGTCTTCTTGGAATTCTATCTGAACAAATATCGTACGAACTGTAATTATTTTCCACGATTGTTAGTAAGAAAAAATGTATCTTTCACTTATTCGAAAAAGCAGCAATTTTCGAGTTTATTATTGTTTTTTATTTAAAATAAGCCTATTAAATCGTCCCTTTTTTCACGTAGGGGCGCATACGCCTCTACGTGATAATAGGGACGTAATAGTTGAATGAATATCTTTAAAGTTGTTCATTCCACTAAAAAAAATGTACAGAAATGTTTTTGTTTAAAATAGAAACTTTAAAAGAAAATCATTGGTGTAGAAATTTTAAGTTGTACACCCTGGATATTTCTATATGAATTTGTTGGGTTTTTAAAGGTAACATTATGTTTAAAATTATATTTCGAATGAAAAATTAAAACTTCATTTTACCCACGACATTGAACACCCTGTAACTATGTAGAGAACACTTCATCCGAAAACTTGATAAGAATTATCTTCCCTTGAAACCGTACAGGGAGTTCATCATTTAATTTTTTGTACCTAACTGTTTTTGGAACTTCCTGTATAAAACGAAAAAAATAAAAAAGCAATTTATAAAATCATAAATAAGGTGTATTTACAACTGATGCAGTCACAAGTAAAACAAGTCTTTCTTAATATCTATAACCTCCCTGTCCCCCTTGAGAGGAAACTGGAGATCTGTATTGCTGCTGAGATTGAGCAGGTGCTCTGTACTGAGGAGCTGCAGGTGTTCCGTATTGTTGCTGAGGAGCAGCTGGAGCGCCGTACTGCTGTTGAGGAGCAGCGGGGGCACCGTATTGCTGCTGGGGTGCTGGAGCACCGTGTTGCTGTTGAGGACCAGCGGGGGCACCGTATTGCTGCTGGGGCGCTGGAGCACCGTATTGCTGTTGGGGTTCGTTGTACTGGCCTTCTTGGTATCCACCACGCGCTGCCTCAGCTTGATTGAATTCGATAGACTTGAGGATTTCCTCTGGGATTGGTGGTGGGGTAGGGAGGTGGGAGCCTTGGGGTTGGAAACCGTTTTCGTCGGCGGTGTACTGGATGGAAATTTGTTCTCCTTCGGGGGAAGTGTAAGAGTAGCTTCCGTGGGCGAGTTGAGCTTCTCCTCTTAAAGAACCTTCTTCCTGAGCGGCGATACCATCAGCAGTTTCGTAAGCGTAGCTGTAGGAACCATCTCCAGCGTTTGGGTTGTTGTCCAAGCGGAGGATGGGGACTTGGTTGGCAGCTGGTGCGGAATAGTGACCTCCAGCCCCTGGTGCAGAGTACTGACCGGCTGCTGATGATCCTTGGTACTGACCAGCTCCAGAATATTGTCCAGATGATCCTCCTTGGTTTGGTGGAAGGTACTGACTGTCGAGACGACCGCAGGCCGCGAAACCAAAGAGGATTGCTACCAAAACTACCTGAAAACAGCAATAATACATTTAGCATATATTTTTAATTGTAAACAATTAGTTAAATTAGTAATTGTAGTAATTAATCCAACCAAATCGCCAACTGTGCTCTTGCTAGTTAAAAATCGGTCCACTAGTTGAACTTGAAAGCAGCAAACTACATAGCTATTGGGCTTTCATCGCTTCACCTGCTCCGGCCTAGTTTGATGAATGAAAAGCAATCTGATATCGAGAGCGTGTGTGATTATGTAACTCGAGATGCTTACTTGTTTCATATTGAAAGTGAACGTTGAACTTGAACTGGCGAGTTGTACTGTTATAAAATTTCGGCAGCTCTCTTTTATATGAAGATGAAGGCGTTACTCCCACCTGAAGATGCTCCAAATAAATGTTCGTTTTTTATTGCAGAATCTGTTTAGAAGGTAAAATCAGGTCCGTCTTGTGGCCAAAATATGTGGGCGGTCGATTTGTGGTTACTATTTTGCAAGTAGGTACTGTTAATAAAAACTTGCGCAAAATTGTCTTTACTGCTCATTAAAATAATAATACATCTATTAATGGTTAAGTGATATGTAAGTAGTAAAAAGCTTCCTTTTTAAGGTGTAAAAAGTTACATAAACAATTATCTAAGCTTGTAAGTGTACTGGAATGCGTATTTGTCGCAATTATATGTTTTCTTGTAGATAATAAAAATATATCCACGTTTCATGCAGTACACAACAATAGACGTATGTTTAAGTTAATTAAAACAATTTGTAAAAATTAACATTTTTTGTAATACTATTTGGAAGAATTATCATTATTACATCTCTATTGTTATTATTAATTAATTAATTTTCTTTAATTTATAAAATGAAAAAATGCGAATGTGTAAAAAAAATGTTGACATCAAATGAGAAGTAAATATTTTCTAAATATTTTTATCGCTTAACGCTCCCGATTAACGCGTAAAATTTTTCAAATTCAAGTTCAAAATTTATTTATTGTTACAAGACTTCGCAAAAAATATATAGGAAAGCACAAACACAATTGCAAACATTACAATTACAACAAGCAGCACAAACATAAAATTTGATTGAAATATCTTCCCCAGAGAGTATATACGAGTACACTTAATACTTATTTATAAAAATATGCGGTACTGTAAAAACACTATTGAGGCAAATAAAATCTAAGTTTTTTTAGTTATGAGGTTTTTTATGTAAACTGGAAGGCTGTTAATTTAACTTTTCAAGCCGGTCCTGCCTTTGTTAACAAAGACTTGCAATAATACTTTGGTTGTGAGATTGGAATGGCCTACTGTTGAAATGTGAACCAGAAGTTAATGCGTTGTCCTTGATTTTTTTTTTAAACGAAGCTCCTTTGTTAATTAACTAAAGTGAATTTTTCGTTCGGCATACGATATGAATAAGGTATTATGAAAAGATATTCTCAACGAGACGGATTGAATAACAATTTATCACTAAAATTTCCTTATGCAGATTGATGTTGCGCATTATGTTTAGATCTAGAATTGCATCATAAAGATGTGAATGTATGAATTTATTTTTCTTCAACTGAGTGATCTAAATCGTCGATATAATAACATTTTTATGAATTGCTTCTACGTACTGCTTCGTGGGAAACGTATGTTTCTTTGAAAAAGAAAAAATTAAATTAATTAAAACTATATCAACATCATGACTGGGTATCATCATCATTATATGTATAATACAGTAATTTATGTTACTTGTCTGAAAGAATGAGTCTTAATTTACGTACCTTTTGTGTAATACATATGAGAATGAGTTTACAATATAGTTTCGAAATTTGTGGGTAGTCTTCTGTCGCTGTCACTAATTTTGATATTGGATACAACTAAATCACGACAAAGTAACAGTAAATAGCTCGTCGAAGAGACGGGCGTCTTGCATTGCAACATCTTTTGATTCATCTCAGTATAAATTATTGATTTAATTTGACGTATGCTAATTATTTTCAGCAAAGGATGTATTAAGACAGACCAATGTAAAAATATCCACAAAGAACTCTATATTCTTCATTGCATTCACCTTAGTGCATTATCTCAACAGGTAAAACGTATTTATAGTCCAATTAAATGGGCCTTTTCAAGATAACTCAAAAGGGGTAAGAGCTAGAAAAAAAAGTTTCTTATAAAGGTTGTAGAAGATAAAATTTTACATAAAAATGGTCTATTGACTTTTTCTTGTACTATTAAAATTAACAGAGTTAGGGAGACTAGAAGTTAGGGGATTATTCCAGAAATTTAAAAAATCATAAACAGAAAAACGAATGAATTTTATAATTTTTTGTTTTCAATGTATTCTAAGAAATGTAAACTTTGTTTTCAGGGAAACAGATATATTTTTTTAATTTTTAATAACAAAGTTATAACAATTTCTATTGTTTAATCATTAATTTTTATGATTTAACACTAAAACAATTTTTTCTGTCATTTGATTGATTATTTAAAATAATGAAAAGTTGTTTTCGAAATTTTGTTTTACGACAAAGATAAAAAATCACGCTCGTGAAATTGTTATAATTTTTTTATTAAAAATTAAAAAATATGTCTATTTCTCTGAAAAGATAGTTTACATTTTTTACAGTAGATTGAAAAAATATATAAAATTCATTCATTCTTCTACTTGTTATAATCTTTTTAATTTCTGATATCATCCCTTAACTTTTAAACTCCATAACTCTGTTAATTTTAATGGTACAAGAAAAAGTCTATGAACCATTTTTATATAGAATTTTATGCTCGACAACTTTTATAGGAAACTTTTTCTTCTAGCTCTTACCTCTTTTGAGTTGGCCGGGGGTTGAAAAAAAAATTACTGTCACTTATTGTTATTGTATACCTCAAACTAACTTATATCAAAATTTCAGGCAAGTTGACCAAAATTGCGGGCCTTTAATTGGACTATTATGGATCTGTTGCGTTTAATCTTCACGAGACTTTTACTACCAACTTAATTTTATAAATTCTCTCACTTAGTACCTTGAGAGCGTTATTCATTTCAGCTGAAGTCATGTAAACATGTGTAGTAATTTCAATACATTAGTATCGTTATTAATCTTTTCATATGAATCCAATTATGGTTTTATTAACAGTAACCGTTTGCTTCAGTTTTGAAAGTAGATCTCATCGACTATGATCGCTTCGCGACCATTAATATCTTGTACTACAACCTTCTTCATATTTCTTAGTATGTCCTTCCTCGCAAGTTTGAAACATTTTTAGATTAATGGTAAAATAAACTGAAAACAGTAGGTATACAACATGTTTCGTATCTTTATATATTCAAATTTTGGTAGCATAAAATAGACTTAAATTTATGACTTTTTTTTTTTTAGTTTTACTAGATCAAAAAATTCACAAAGTTAAGTTCTTTTATAAAAATACATACACTTGCAGTTATTCATAGTACACTGAAGCTACACAGGTACAGATACAACAATTTTTTACTGTACAATATTTTAAAGAGTAAAAAGATCGTTTATCGGATGTAAAATTCTAAATTGGGGTTTTGACTTCGCTGTACATATTTTAATATGCCCTTTAATTTGTTATACTTGCTATATTAAAAAATTATATACCTGCTTTCTCATGATTAAATTCCGACAATTTAAATCAGTTTGACATTTGTCCATATAAGTAGCTAGATCCTAACAAAGTTAACAGCAGATGACTATCAGCGAATCATGTCGATAATAATTATCTGCCGTAAGTAATGAAGTAATTTAAGCAATATCCTAACAACAAAACTACCCATTAACCGTAACTGCATATTACTTTCATCTAATATTTGAACTATGCAGCGATCTTTTCCTGATCATAGAAATTTATAATATTATTGATGGGTATCCAATTAATTTATTCAATAGCTAATAAAACAGACTGGATGTTGCGTTACATAAACTAATAGCTTCTAATATGCGGGTACAAGTAGATAAAATTTAACATTAAAAAAATCGTAAAAGTTCACCTATTTGGGCATAATTAAATTGTCAGGCTGTCTTATCGGGGTGATTGATTTAAGTCGAGTTTGGCTTAATAGAATTTATTCTTAGCTTTCAATTATTCTAAAAGATTTCTAGACTCTACTCATTTCCATAACATTAAAAAGATATACATTATTTGTATTATTTTATTGGGATTTAATTAGGTAGCTCTAATATTAGCAATAAATTTTATTCGGACCAGACAAATATCTCTCGATCCTGAAGCTGATAAAATAAATTGTTAATTAATCTTTTCTTACTGAATTTATATAACATTTTTATATCAAGTTTCACTCGATATGAAACATCTTTAGCATTGTTACACTAATTGTATGCTAATGAATAAGGCCACTGTGAAGTCTTATTATATACAGGGTGTTCAGGTCGGCAAACAGTGGTGTAGTCAGTATTAAAGTTTGGAGGGAGCCGAAATGTCAAAAAGGCCTCAATAAGAACTCAAATAATAAAATTTTTCGTTTTGTACTGGGAATTTTTTTTTTATGATAGTTCGAAAGGTTGTGAGGGAGGCAATGGGTCTTTGGTTCCTCTTTTGACACAGCCACTGAGCCAAAGTAACCAAACTCACCCTTAGTGAAAGTCTCTTAGTACATTGATGCTTTTCTTAAAATTGGTGTCTCTTTAATAATAGAGTAGGTACCGCAACTCGTAGTTTTTTAACCAGATTGGGATAATGGATGGCGTTTGTCAAAGCATTAATTTTGCCGGTGTTTCTTGTTTATAAAAGTCAGGACAATTATTTTACTTCGTTAGTTTATTCCAGAAATAAATTTGTATTAGGTACGGAGTAAATTCAGTTTTAACGAAAATTTCATAATTTTTCCTTTGTCATAAGTTGAAAATTAACTATCAAACCTTGAGCGTCACAGCTTCAAAATTAGTCATTTTATGTTTATGTTCTTTTAAGTCAAAAATGTTATATTCGTCTTAAGAGAGGAAGATGAAACGTCAAATTTATTAATTTCTTAATTAAAATACTAAAATAAATTTGTATCAGTTTCATTACCACTCGCCTTAATTTCAACGGAATATATTTTATACATAACTTTTTCTTTAATATTGCATATTTATTAATATTGTATATTTTTTAAGGACCATTTTGGGGAAAACTATTTTTATCAAGTTTTTCCCCAAGCAATCATAGTTTAGCAAACTATTCAGTAAACTAAATGTTAATGACATGTAAATAATAACAATTTTTTGTATAACGTTAAGGAAGCAGCTCTGCCATGATATTTAAGGAGATATATCGGGGTCCGAGGCAAGTG